ACCAGAAAACACCCTCCAGAGTTGTTCCTTGGGAACTGGTCCATATTGTTTATGAGACAGGTCTCTTACTGGTCTGGAACTCCCTTGATATGCTTGACAGGCTGGCCCATGGCCCCAGGAATCCGCCTGTCTCTGCCTCCCCAGCATTGGAATTACCAGCATATATACCACCATGCTTGGTTTTTCTACATGGGTTCTGGGGATTGAACTTGGGTCTTTGTGCCTGTACAGCAAGCACTTTACCAGTTGGGCTATCTTCCCAGTCCCTTTTCTACTTTTTCAATAAAAAGAATTTAATGATAGAATACTCATAGGAAAACTTGTTATCTACTGTTAATATATACTATCACCAAACTGGCACTCTGTCTACACATACACATGCACACACACACACACACACACACACACACACACACACACACACCTATAGCTAGCTGATCTACAAATCTATCAGGACTTTTAATTTCCAATAAAATAATGGCATTTGTTGAAAATAATCTTCCCTGCTATCTTTTTACATTCTTCATTTTTAGGGTGCAAAGAAGATGTTGGCATTGGGGATAACAGGCCCTGAGGGGCATGAGCTGTGCCGCCCGGAAGCAGTGGAGGCAGAGGCCACACTCAGAGCCATCACCATAGCCAACACTGTGAACTGCCCTCTGTACATAGTGCACGTGATGAGCAAATCCGCAGCCAAGGTCATAGGCGATGCAAGGAGAGATGGTAATCCTCACCCGAACCCCACTGACAGCTCAGGGTTAACAGAACAAGGCACAACCAACTTCCTCTGCTTTGCTTATGAGGAAGTTGCGTGCTAATTTCCACTCTTCTTCCCTCTTTATTTGCAACCTGCCTTTTTTTTTTTTTTTAAACCCTGATGAGCATCTCTTTCTTTGATCTATTTATTCATCTTCAGGGCTCCCTCTCTTCCTTGGGCGATTTCTTCAGGACCTGAACTACCCATGTTCCCACTCTCAACACCATAGGCAGCCATTTTTTAATCTGATAATGAATTTTACTTTCAAAGCTCGTTTTAAAGAGGCTTGCACTCCTCCTTAACGCTTTCACTCACTGTCCTAACCCTGGAATGGTATCAGGGCACTTTGAGCTCAGGAACTTTCTTTTGAACTTGGATGTTGATTCAATTGAAGAAGTTATACCAAAAGTATTTTTATGATGTCTGTTTTAAAGTTTTACAAGATTGTTTTCCCAGACTTTCTGTTGTTTCAATTCTCTAGTTCAATCTGAAATACAGTCACCCACAAAGAAAGCAAATCTGTTCTTGGGCCTCGAGGTAATTCCATTCATTTGATAGTGCTGGAAAGGGAAGCGTGAAAACCAAACATATGCATTTTATGCAGTGCCTTAGGCCTCCTTGTAGCTTCCATCTCACTTTTAGAAATGCAGATAATCAGACAGTGGTGGAAATTATTGTAGCTGAATAATGTACATTATTCAAAAAAAAGCTATGGAATGGATTTGATATGTTCGTAATTGGAACTAAAATAAAATTTTTGCCAAAACTACTTGTTGCAAAGTTTAATAAGGATTTTGTGAGCCACATTTAGTTTTGAATGGATTAAATCCATTTTAGTAATAAGCTTAATTTCAAATAAGTTAATAATGTCAGACTACCAACTATTTCTGATTCTTTCCCTCCCACACCCCCACACATAGCAGATTTGCGATTTGCCATGTGAAACAGCAGTCCCCCCCCCCAAAAAAGCCCTCAGAAAACAAATCTGAAAATTCCAATTTGTAGAACTAGTTTTTACCACCAGATGGTGCTGTTGCCAGCTTTATGGGATTGCTAAGGTTTTCTTTCTAAGCAGTGAACCAGGGTTATAATAGACTATGGTTTAAGGAACAGTAAAACCAACAGAAATAGCCAGTCTTAATCCACCATCAAGCTTTGATTTTTAAAGTTCAGGTAGGAAGCATCACTGGTCACCTGCAGATACTATTTCATTTTGTAGAAGGGGTATGACTTTTCTATTGCTTCTGTAAGGAATGACCACAAACTTAGTGAATTCAAACATGAAGTGTTACCTAATCATTCTAGAAGTCAGAAGTCTGAAGGAGACCTCAGTGAGCTGACATCTGGAGTCTGGAGACTGAAGCACCTTTTTTATTTCCTTTCTCGTCCTCTTCCCCTTTTTCCTTCTCTCCTCTTCCCCTTCCCTTCCCCTCCTCTCTCCTCCCCCCCCTCATTTCCTCTCCTCTTCTTTTCCTTTCCTTTCCTTTCTTTTCCCTTCAGAGCCCTCTGTGGTCCTTGGGCCACCTCTTTCTCCATCCTCGATGGTGAATTGAGCCCTATTCAAGTCACTTTATTCCAGATCTCCTCTTTTATCCCACTCTTCTACTTTTAAGGATCCTTGGAGTATATTGAGCTGAATCCATTAATTCAGCATGACTTTCCCATCTTGAGGCCCTTCATTTAATTACATCTATAAGGTCTTTTTTGTACCATAGGTAACATAAGCACAGGCTGTGTGGATTGGGATGTGGACATCTTTACAGCTTTGTTATTTTGCCTAGCATAAAGGGGCATCTATCTTCTAGAAGTAGAATTTCTAATTCAAAGATTAAGTAGAAATGAAATGTTTTTAGATATTGCTAGATTCATTTCCAAAGGATTCATAGACATGGGATAATTTAAATGTCTCCCAAATGTGCTTGGTAAGTTGGACTTACAATAATGGTACTTGTGAAAATACCCTAATGCCAATCATCAAAGAGGCAGCAGAACCCCAAAGTAAATCATCATGCGACATCTTACCACTTGAATTTGACCCCTTACATGTGAGCAGGGCATGTGATCAAGGAGGAAACAGAAGGGAGAGAGGGAGATGGACAAAGCAGTTCCAAATTGTTCACGTGGTGACTGTATCAACAAACCCAAGCATAGACCCTGGGCAGTGTTGATGGCCAAGAGCCATTGGATGATACTGACCTTTTATGAAAGATTCAGGCACCCTATCCATAACTCCTTATCATATAGCATTTATAGATGAAAAATTACATTAGAGGCCTATTACTTGTGATCTGTTTAAATAAGAACTAGTTCAGTCTTATAAAATAATTTATAACATGAAAATCTGTAAATACTTTTGTTACTCACTTCTCTTTTATGGGCCCTGAATCTCACAGTGGGTCCCTTGAATTCAGCACCAGCATTACCTAGGAGTTTATCAGCAGTGCATAGCTGACGGCCACCACCCCCAGACCGCTGAATCCTAATGCACACTTCTAACTGAAACCCTAGGTGATTCATAAGCCTTCTAAATCAGAATCCTGCTCAGGAGGCATAAAGGATATCCAATTATTGATCACCTCTTTTGTAAGTCACTTAGAAATACAATGCTATTAAATTTGATTTTATAGTTCAGTTGCCAGCTATAGACCCAGAAGACATGGGATGTGGTTATAACAATTCACAGTGTCTGTTGAGTGTTTAATATGTGTCTGGCACCCACTAGGATCCTGGATATTTTATCTCATTTCAGGCTTTATTCATTCATATATATATGGTGATATATATCACATATCTTTCATTATAATGCTTGAAGCTCAATTTTATTACTGTTTTGTGACTGGTGAAGTTGAGACCTGGGAAAGATTGATAAATAAGCTCAAGATAACTTTAATGGTAACTACTAGGTCTAGAGGTCAAACCCAAGGCCACGGACCCCAAAGCCAGGGTTTTTTCTGTGAATCTTTATCCTATGGAAAAGGCTGGTCTAGAGTTAGGGAAGTGTGAATATCAAGTTTAATTGATTTAAGGCTTAAACAGTTGACTGGTCTTCTTTGTAATTACATTAAAATGTTTATTTATTTATTTATATTTTATTTTATTTTGGTATTTTTGAGACAGAACCTCCCTTTTATTTTATGTGTATGAGTGTATTGTCTACATGTCTGTAAGTATACCCATGTCATGTACAGTGCCTGCAGAGGACAGAAGAGGGCATCAGATCCCCTGGAACTGGAGTTAGTATGGTTGTTTGCCACCATGTAGGTGCTGGGAATAGAACCTGGGTCCTCTGCAAGCACAGTCAGTGCTCTTAACTGCTGAGCCATCTCTCCAGCTCTAGTTTGTCATTCTTTAAAAAAAATGAAAATGCCAAAAATGACCCTGCTGCAGTGTTGCGTGGAAGGCTGGATGCTCTCTCTCATTCTCCCAGTCACCCATTGGAGATACTGATTTTGGCCATATCTACCTTAAGTTTTAGGTAGCTACTTTCAAAATTTACATTATTGTTTTGGGCAATATCAGTTGTCTTTCTACCATGAAAAAAACAAGTAACTTAGCAGACACATATCGTTCCGTAGCCTGAGTTTTTCAGTAATAATAGTTACTTCAAATAACACACTTAAGGTATTGTTCCTGGCTGTGTTTTTTTTTTTTTTTTTTTTTTTTTTTTTTTTTTTTTTTGGGGGTGTGTGGGTTTGGGTGTTAAAATTATGTAAATACCTTGGCTGCCTCTTCTCTCCTGGGCTGAAGAAGGAGCTCAGAGGTCATCATTGTCCTCTGTCCTCCCGGCGTCCACTGTGTTATTGTCTTGGTGTGAAAGGCTCTTCACAGCATTTGTTTCCTTTCCATGGATCTGTTAACTTTCATGCTTTGTCCATAGGTTAAGTCTAAAATTTAAGAACTTCACAGTATAGGATTGTGACACTGTTCTTCTCTGTAAAAACTATTAGTGAGAACAGAAGTTTGTGGCACTCAGTGAAATGCAAGTTAGTGCCACTCTCACTAACTCATGGAGAAGCAGTTTCAAGTGTCAGGGTCAAGTGGATTTCTTTCACTCCTATGAGACCCCAAAGCACACTTAATGTTAGTTTGCTACATATTTAGACCACTGGGGAGTGTGCGTGTGTGTGTGTGTGTGTGTGTGTGTGTGTGTGTGTGTGTGTGTGTGTGTAGGGTTTCACCATATAGCCCTGGCTGGCCGGGAACTCACTATGTAGACCAGGTTGGCCTTGAACTCACAGAGATGCACCTGCCTCTGACTCCTAGTGCTGGATTAAAGGCGATGCACCATGCCTGACTTCCTCCTACTTTTTATTGGATATAATCAACTCTTCTTACAAGGATTTTTTGGGGGGATGATAATCTTCTGACTTTTCTTTCTCTCCTTCTCTCCCTCCCTCCCTTCCTCCTTTTTGTGTTTTCGGCAATGGTGGGAATGGAACTCAGGGTCCTGTTCACGGTACACAAGCATTCTACTACCTTCACAGCCCTCTATTGTAGCTTGATAGCTACTTCCTTTTCTTGTTACTGAATTTTTGAGACTTTCATACAATGTATTTTGATCATATTCAGACCCCATCCCCTATTTGCACATCTCTCCTCCTCCTTTTAGCCATAGCCTTTAAAAATTTCCCCATCATGGGGCTGGAGAGATGGCTCCGTGGTTAAGAACACTGGCTGTTCTTGCAGAAGACCCGGGTTCAAATCCCACCACCCACATGGCAGCTAACAACTGTCCGTAACTCCAGTTCCAGAGGATCTGATAGCCTCTTCTGTCCTCCGTGGGCATTGCATGACACCGGTGCACTTACTTACATGCAGGCAATACACACATACAAATAAAAATAATAAATAAAATATTTTAAAAATTTCCCCATCATGTTAAGAGGCCCATTTTAATTTGAAGACTAATCTTCGATCTTCTCAATTTTTTTCTTCTAGTATTTACTTATTTATTTTCTCTGTTTAC